TGGCATTATTATTTGGCATCTAAATTGACCTGACAGCATGCCTGTAAGTTATTGTTTCCACGGAGCTATATGGAACTGGATTCTTCCATTTAACTATCTGCCATAAGAAGTAAGACAGTATTTTCCCTGCCCCTCCCCCTCCCCGGCTATAATTTCAAATGTAGTAACTAGAGTTGGGTCCAAGTCATGAAGTTTGGATCCAGATTCACATTTCCCTAGACTTTGGAGCAGTTTCGATCCAGTCTTTTGATTTGGGTCTGTAATAAGCTGATGACAAAACCATTTTTTTTTCCCATTCTACTTTGCAGAGCAACGATCTTGAAGGCAGTGATGGTTGTGACGATGACTCTGACTGAGTCAGTAAATAGCAGGAGCTGGGATCTTTGCTGCTTGTGATTCAGTTTGGGTAGAACTAAGTGGCCTTTCTAAATCCAGTAAAGCAGAGGTTTTCTTGCATGCTGAAAACGAGTAGTCACAGACGACCAAAAGGAACTTGGGGGGGGAAATAATGCAGCAGTGACCCTGAAAGTGACTGTACACCACTAACTGATGCATTGGAACGTGGAATACTTGAAAACTAAAATAACAAAAAATGTACTTTATAAAGGAATCTTGTTGTGCAGGAATTGTTTTCATTATGTAATTTGAATTATGTTTTTATTACAGTAAAAGTGCTTATATGAAACATACAGATATTTAAACGTGTAATCTCCACGTAAGGCAAATGCAAAACATTTTTAAATAGATTTTTTTCTTTTCATTTTATAGATTGAAGACCTCTATGTACTACTTTAAAAACCTCTTTAGTTTACAGAATTTCTTCATCTGTAGCTGCAGTGATTTTCCAAAATTTGAGACTTTTTTTTGCATACTATCCATGACTTTCACATGCAATTTGTTTGGGATCAGAAATCTATTGTTATACTGGTGGCCCTGGGTTCTCTGGCTAGAGAGAGACTTAACTTTCTTTGCCATCTTTAAGCTTGAGAAACTGTTCCTTTCATGAATGAGATCTAATTTTGGAAAGTGGGCTGGTATGTGTGTATCAGGGGCTACGTTGATCTTTTTATTTTAAAGATGTTACTAACAGCAGATGGTTCCAATGTGTTCTTATACTTGGACAATCCCAGAACATAGATTTATAGCTGCCTATGTATGCAGAGTATCTCCAGCCCAGGTAATTGTTTCACAAACCCTTTAATTAAGGTGTGTTAAACCACTTTGAACATGTAAAGTACTGTTATCACAAACGTGAAGTACGAAAACTTAGAGGGGGTTCAGTACTGCCTGTGGTAGATCACTAGTTATATTGCAGTTGGTTTGCCATCCCTTGTACTTGCTAGGTAGCTCTCTGCTGCATTTTGGCCTAAATGTGTAAAATGTAAGGTTCAAATTTTCAGTAGGCTTCAACCTAGCATGCAGAAACTTTGCATATACAAATCCTCATTATTCATCTGCCCATTCAGATGGGGGGTTGTGTGCCATAATGTGGGATTTGTATGTGCTGTCGAGTAGGTGTGCAAATATACACACATGGTTTCAGAGGTTGCGGCTGAAAATTTGGCCCAAAGCATTTTCCCCTGGATCTGTGTGCAGAAGAAGAGGAGAATATGCCCCTAACTTAGAAAGAGTTTAGAGGGGAGAATATGCAACACAGCTTAAGAGACAGCTGCTTTTAACCAAGGCCTGATGGCCTTTGTTCCTCCGTGAGCAACGTTTTAGTTTTCTGTGTTTTGGGCACATGAAGCTGCTGAGGACTTTTTTGGTCAGACTTTGGGCTTAATTCACCATCTGTGGGACCAACTTTCTTAGAGGGTGGGAGAGAGAAGTAGCAGTGGTGAAAGCCTCCCACAACCCTCATACTTATGAGGTCAGCTGGTGCCTTAGGAATGGGATGCCTAAAGGCATCTCTACATTACGGGGACTATAAGGCATAGCTACAGCACCATAGTGTAGATACAGCGACAGAAGGGGTTTTTCTGTCACTGTAGGGATGCTGTAGGTAGGTTGACGGAAGCATGCTTCTGTCAGTCTAGCTGCATCTACACCAGGAGTTAGATCAACATAGTTACAGCACTTGGGTGTAGATTTTTCACACCCCTGATCACCATAGCTATGTCAACCTGCATTTTAAGCAAAGACCAGGCCTAGGAAACATGCTGATTGAGCCCTTTCCAGCTAAACTTCACCAGGTGGGCTTCAAAGGAGGCTCAGAGCTGTGTAAATTAAAGCTCCCTTCCTGGGCAGGACCCTGGGGGAGGGCAGTGGATGTAAATTCCTACTGGCACAGCAGCCCCTGGGGGTTTGACACAAACTACAGCACCTGTGGATGTGAATTAAGCCTATGGTCTCCACTGAATGTAATACGGTTCTCTCTTTGAAGGACTGTCTCCTCTGTTCAGTTCTGTGAAACGTATTAAATGGTTTCTGTCTAAGGCCTCTGGACTTACGATTCTGTCAGTCGTTTGTCCTTTTATCTTTATTAATAAGTTGCTGCAGATATTATGCTCTTGTGTTTCTTAGTGTTTTAATTAGGGTTTTAATTTTATCCCCAGAAGGTCTTGATCCATATTTTGTCTCGTAGGTAAAAGCAGGATTGTGAGGGGTATGTATCAGTGTGCCTTTAGGAGATGCTGTCTTCCCCTAGATTTTCTTGTACATCCCTCAATATTTTGTATAACTTACGTCATCTTTATCATCTCTTCCCTCTCTTTCTCTCTTGTTTTGTTTTGTTTTTTTTAATCAACCTCAATCTGTGAGCAAAGTTTGGGTCATTCTTACTAAAATAACTATGGGAATATTGTCAACTCAATGGGAATTTCATTTGTAACCTTTAGAGGAAACTGCCCTAGATCATTAAAATTGAACATTTTTACTTTATTTGCTCTGTGTGTGCTGTTTGCTTACTTTTTGCCCTTCACTTACCCTGGAGAGGCTGCTCTCAGGTCCAGTTCTGGGTTCTCATTCACTGACACAATACTGCTGGGTCTGGGTTGCAGATTCCACACAGGAATGTTTGATTTGAAAGCAAATAAACCCGTTGTTTGTTCATTGGGATACTTCTTCGAATTTAATGTAAAGATTCCTGGAGATAGTTGTAGGTTTTTATAAAATCTGCTTTTAGCACATGTACACTAGAAGGTTTTTTTTGTTGCTTTAACTATGCTAGTACAGTTCAAGTAGCAAGCTTCCCCGAACTGCAGTGTGGATGTAGTTGTTTATGCCAGTATCTTAAGTGATGTCTAAACTAGAGTGTCTGTGCCAGCATACCCCCCTATTTAAGGTGCAGATTTTCCACCAACATACTAAAAACAATGGTAGGTAGCTAAACTGCCAAAGCACTCTTTTGTCAGCATAGTTCCATCGACAATGGAGGTTCTGCAGGCATAGCTATGTTGCCCAGAGCTTTGTGAATTTTTCTCACCCCTACCAGACATAACTATACTGCCAGGACTTTGTAGTGTAGACCAAGTCATATTGTGGTTTGTGAAGTGAAATAGAATCATAGGACTGGAAGGGACTTTGAGAGGTCATCTAGTTCAGTCCCCTGCACTCATGGCACTGGCATCTAGACCATAAGTGATGTTCCCTTTCATACTGAATAACTGAGACTACACTAAGGCTTGAACTCAAACTATAATGGTTTAAAAAAAAAAAAAAACACCCCGAACTTACATAGTTATACCAATATAACTCTTCATGTACAGATCAGGCCTTCTACAATTAAAAACTTGGTACATACTTGTCTGGGCAGCTGCCTGTGTCCATCTATACTAGAAAAATAAGCAGCACTGTTAAAGCTATGCTGCCCTAGCTGTCCACCTCTCCAAGAGACGGTAGCTAGGTCCATGGAAGAATTCTCCTATCGACTTAGTGGTAGGGTTAGGACTGGGGTTTAGGCTTAATTACTCGCATAGTGCATGAATTTGTTCAGAGCCCTGAGCAATGTTGTTAAGCTGATCCAGCTTTCTAGCACAGACCAGCCATGTGTAATAAGTCTGGCCCAGCTCATGTTGCCAAGCAGCATGAGTCAGACCCCCAGAACTAAGATGATTTAAAGAAAAGAGATACAGTGTTTCTTATTGGCCTTATGTGCCTGCAGGTGGGTCCCGTTGCTAACCTTTCCCCCACCGCCCCAAGCTGGGCCAGAAACTTACTTGTTTTTTAAATATGAAAGTGGTGATTCTTCCATAGTCACGTGATTCCAGGAGCTGGGGCTTACGGACATGCTCCACTTACCCCCAGCCAGAAGGCAACTCTGGGGGAGTTGGCAACCCTGTCCCATTGGAATTGGGCCCTGAAGAGGTGCAGGAGCCCTAGCCGCTTGTGTAGCAAGGTGATGGTTGTCCCCTCCACCCCTGGCCTCCCCTTCCTCTTGTCCGACAACAGCGCCCCCTGGTGCGCACAGAGCAGAGGGGAAGTGGGGCTGTCTGTGCACCCTCGCTGTTATGTCCCTGCTGCGTACCCGTAGCGGAGTCCTCCGCCATTTTCCGTGCTGCCCCTCCCCCCGCGCTTGGAGGTCCTTGCTCGACAGCCTCGCTCTTCCTGGTGAGTCATTGCGCCGGAGCCCGCAGTGGTACAGCCCACCCGGCATTTCTCCCCCTCCAGGGTGAGCTTGCAGTGGTATCGCCCGGGACTTCGCTGAGCCGGGCGGAAGGGCCCCTGGGAGGCGGGGCTAGGCCGGAGACACGCCCCCGGCGGGGCGGGGTCGAGGGGAGCTGTCTGAGGGCGGGGGGTGTTCAGAGGCGAGAAGGTCCCCCGAGGGGGCGGAGGAGAAGCTCGGAGGGGGCGGGGCGGGGCTCGCACGGTTGAGGGGGAGAAGCTCGGAGGGGGCGGGGCTCGCTCGGTTGAGGAGGCAGAAGCTCGGAGGGGGCGGGGCGGGGCTCGCACGGTTGAGGGGGAGAAGCTCGGAGGGGGCGGGGCTCGCTCGGTTGAGGAGGCAGAAGCTCGGAGGGGAGTTTGCTGGAGGGGCGAGGTGCAAGCTCTTGGGGGAGGGGAAGATGCTGCTGTCAGGTCCCGGTGGACAGCAGCCCGGTGCCTTCTGTCGCTAATCATCAGTGGCAGGCCCTGGGCGGCCAGGCTGGCAGACCCCTGGGTCCCCGAGGCCCTGGCTGAGCAGGGACCCTGTCACGCACCTGTCAGCGCTGTGGTGGGTGCAGCTCCGTGCTGCGGTTATCCGGGGCAGGGGGCGACCTGTCCCCTTGCACTGCCCCGAAAGCTTGTTGCCTCCATGCAGGTGTCTGTGCCTTTCTGGGGTTTAAGGTTATCCCCAGAACAGGCTGCTTGACTCTGTGCTCCTTAACCACCGGTTTGTTAAAAACAACCCAACAAAACACGGGTTGAGTTACAGCTTGGTGCTGCGTGGCCCCCTCTGGCTGGTTTTTAGGGTCCTGGAAGACGCGAGGGTAGTCCTGAAAATCTGGGGCATCGCTTGAAACAAGACACACTGGGCAGCCTTACTTCAGACCTGGATATATAGTAAGAACATTTACTGCTTGGCTCTTGCCTTGAAAATGTTGCTGCTTCCAGGGTTGATGCTAGAAGAAGCATCAAATAGATTGACAAGCACAAAATGACACACAAACCTAAATATTTAATTTGCAATAGAAGACCAAAAACAAGGAAACAAGATTCCTAGTCTGAACATGGCCTAAGCAGGTACCCAAATGAGGAATATATGGTGTATACTGGATACATGTATGTTTTACTTTAACTAGGAACTTCCTTGCTTTTATGGATATTAGTTACTGTGTCAATGTTGTTTCCCTATGGACTTAGTCATCTCTATCGTTAAGGTAAATTGGACATGCAGAGAAATACAGGAGCTACCTGTCAGATCTATTTTCTGTTTTGATGTATGATATCTATGTTGCTGTGCTGCTTCCCTCTATCCCCTGCCCATAAAGGACATATCTTCTCTGGAAGCCTGCCTGCACCACAGTTTCCAAATATAGCTATTTATAATGAGTTGAATTCCAGTAGCTGGGCAGAATGGGAACATGACACTGCAGTTGTACCAGTAGTTCTAGGAATCCAGCAGATAATGTTTATCCCATTGCTAATCCCAAATCCAACATTGTCAAGTTTTCAGTTTAGCCCTCTGCAAAGGAGGTTTGAACATCGATCTCTAGCACATATTCCAGTTATTTTGCCATTGCTCCAACAAGTTCAGTCTCAAAGCCCTACACAGTCCAGCTCTTTTCTGGTGCAGTCATTACCAAATGTTTAGGTAGACATTCTAGATCCTGGCTTTGGTATGTAACACCAAGATTTGTAAATGTTGGTGTGTTTGGGAGATTAATCAATCTGAGATCTTCAAATTGTGGACTTTTTGTGTATCAAGAAAGCTCAAGCAGGGGTACAACTTCCATATTCTGAAGCATCTGCTGTTGTACGGGAATGCAGGCTTTGATAACCTCATTCATAGATTGTTTCATTCAGCATCTTGAACCTGTAGCTAGTGAAGCAAACATTGTCAGTGACCTAGCCCATGTCATATGAAAACTACTAATTTGCCACCATGAATACTAGTATCCAAGGGCCGCTTCTAACAGCATCAAGTGCTTCAAGGAAAGTAATTGAGCAGACCCATTGTATATGATAGGACATCAAGTGGATTAAAAACGAGCTAAAAGAGGCACAGTGAAAATGCTGAGGTCGGGTCTCGTGGGGGAGAAGGTTCTGAGGAGGCTGTCTTGGAGGGGCGAGGGAGAAGCTCTTGAGTTTGGGGGAGGGGAAAAGGCCAGGTGTCGGTGGCCAGCCCAGTGCTTTCTGTAGCTGATCTTCAGTGGCAACCTCTGGGCTGGCAGTGCAAGGTCTGGCAGGCAGGCCCTGGCTGACCATTGCCTCCTTTTTGAGCTACTCTTGCACAGGATTTGTTTAACCTTGTTTGCTTCATTACATTCTTGTTCTTAATTATGTCACTTAGCTATGTTCTTATTTGGATTGCAGCCCTTTTGTGATCAGAAGCAAGTTTTGTAATCACGCGGTGTCCACTGCTGGCAATTTAAAGCCTAGTTAATTTCAAAACTGAATTGTTTTCCTTCCTTTCCAAAGTTATTCATTAGTTTATCTCGTTTTGATGTTTTAGAAAGTTGTCATACAATAACAGAAATACAAATGGCTTAATTCTCTTTGTCACCTGTATAGGCTCTGACTCATTTTCTCTTTTCTTTCTCTCTTTGTTCCACCTCTCTCAACCACTTCCTGCTGTATTGCTGCACCTCAGTCACGATCCCTAGCATCAATAAAGGCTATGGTTGAGGTGCTTGTTGTTTATAAAATGTTATGGGTTTCTATCATGGGAAGCTTTGTAATTCTTATATATTCGGAAGGAGGTTTAAAAAACCCTTTTGATCTGAGTTGAACTTAATACACGGATTCCAATTGTGAGAGGCCTTCATAATTGCACACACTTGCACTGTGATAGAAATCTATTAGAAACAATACATGGTTCACAGCAAAATATGCTTTTTCCTCTTATGATTTCAGTGAAACAGCTGTATAATGGAGTATTATCAATAAAATGGTGCATAGTTCTGAGGAATTTTAAAAAGATAATTATTTTCTTTTTTCAAAATATTTTCTCCCGGGGAAAGATTGTGACAGAAAAAGGCAGATGGAAATATATTCTTGCAACTGCCCACCTATCTCCAGATACAAGTTAGAAATTGTTTTTTCATCTTAGCAGCAACTATTTCAAATGTTGTTAAAAAGTTCTAACTTTTGTATATCCCAAGATTTTTTCCTTCATTGAATTTGATATGTTATAGAAGAATTCACTACTTTTGACTGCATCTCTCATCAATTAAAAACAACAAAACTTTGCCACTAAAATTGCATGGTTAGTTTTGATAACAATACAGCACACAACTTAGTTCCTCTTGGTTTGTTGTTAATTTTGTCTAATTTATTTACTTCTGGACTGTGCACTGTTTGGGTTTCCCTTGTCCTGGCATTTTAAGGGTGGATTTTGCATCCTGCTTGTTGCTATACAGTTTTCAGAACAGATCATACCTAGAATTTGTTCAAGTGATGCAACTATGAGAGTGTCCATTACAGAACTAAAGTAAAGATTAAGAGTTATGATCTATCTGTAAATTGCTGAGTGCCCTCAATTTCCTTTTAAATCAGTGGGACTTGAGGTGTTCCATTGTGGAACTGGGCCACTGTTGTTAATGAGACCACTCTAACAAGTAAGGGTTTTGGTATTGGGCCCATTGTACTACCGTAAAAATGACCAGAGTGATTCCAGTGAGATGGAATGTCTGGAAAGAAAATGACTGACTGTGAAAACACAGTTATAATGGAAGTTTGTGGCTGCAGAAGTTCCTCTTCAACAGCTAATGCCAATGATACAAGGTAAAAGTTTTAGAATAAAACTGATATACCCACTACTGATGCCAAAGATTTATAGTAAATGTTTAATAATGCAAATGACCAGGACTAGTCTAGTTTTACCTTTCTAATTAAAGATAATTGCTTAAATTATTTTTTCTCTAATTGGAACATTACACCTAATACCAATTAATCTAACATAAAAATCCTCTGGGGTAAATTCCCTGGTAACCTTGGTGAGAGTTGCACATCTCATTCTCAGAGCACTGGGTTGGATATTTTACCCCTCTGTGTCTAATTTGCTGTTTTTCTTAATTGTTGTTTTAGTGAAGTTGTACCTTTGATCATTTGATACTCTGACTAATATGAAATTGATTGCCTGGTTCACACCTCTTTATCTTGCATGTTCATAAACAGAAAATTAGTTTATAATCAGCTTAAAGAGCAGCATTGCTATACAGCACACTTTAAAACACTGATTGCTTTGCAGCTTGTTAGCTGTAGTTTTTCGGTATGTAATTATATTACAGTTACAAAATATAAAGCAACTTGGTTAACAAAAATCTCTGTTTCCCCTTTTCCTGTCTTAATACTTCACTAGTTAAATTAACAGAACGTCAACCCTTGAAACTGATATGTTGGATTTTCTTTTGCTTTGCAGGTAGAATGCCTCCCACTCCTCAAACAGTGCAACTTGCAGGACAGAAACAAAGCCAACAACAGTAAAATAATCCATCCAAGCATGTCTGTGGAAAATGTGGCAAGTTCTCACACTCCTCCATCTCAGCTGCTTGGGAGGCAGCAACCTGCTGACGTCTTCACAGTGGCTTTCCCAGCTTCATTGTAGCTTTCACAGCAACAACCACCTGTCGGAGAGTTTCCAGAAACAGCTTCAGAAAATGGAATCCCAGACACAAAGTATTTCTATCACTTCTGCTCCATATAGCCAGCTCATGACATCTCTTCAACAGCAGGTACAGCCAGCACTCCATATCCAGAGGCAGATGCCACTGTTACCTGTTGCTGTGTTGGAGCTGGTATTCTGATTAAAACTTTTTTATACAAGCATTGTCTTGTATGAAATGTTTAGAAAGTGTGGTTTTGTGTGTTATGCTCTGGGAAATGCATGCAGGTTTTCCTCTATTATGTTATTTGTTTAGCACAACTGGGTAGTTCTGTTTGACTGTGATAGAGAGAGAATCTTAGGAACAAAGACTTAATGTTGTAATCTTTTTGTCTAGTTTTGGGTCTCTTACCATGTCAAGTTTGAAGGTAGGCTAAACTCTGTTTCATAGCCTTTCGGCTGCTTTATTCTCTTAAGGATTTACTTTTGTGAATTAAATATTCCTTAATCTTTTTTCTAGTTGGTCTAATACTCAACCCCAGGAACCTTAAGAATCTTTAGGTTTCAGAGTATGTTTCACTCTATATGCATCCGAAGAAGTGGGTTGTAGCCCACGAAAGCTTATGCTCTAATAAATTTGTTAGTCTCTAAGGTGCCACAAGTACTCCTGTTCTTTTTAAGAATCTTTAGTTCTGTTTTTATTTCCTTTTACTTCACCAAGTTCACTTTTATGTTTAAGTGCATTTAATACATGTAGAAGGTTTCAGATTGACAGCCTTGAAGATTGAAGTCACCTGCCTAACATGTACAACATAAGGGGGGGCATGCAAACTTTTTCACAGTGCCCTGAGAAGATGGACCCTGTATGTTGTGTCTGAGACCTCTAGGGAAGAGAGTTACTGATTTCCTGTGCCCATTTAGTCCTATGCATTTCTGATACTGTCAGTAAGGGAGCAAATTAAAGCCAATAATCCTGGGTTTCTTAATGGAGCTTATTAGGAACCAATGAGCCATCACATAGTAAAACTGGATTTTGATTATTAATTTATAGATGAAAATCTTTGTGACCATGCACACTTCACATATTCTGTAGTTAACAGTATTCCAGTTTTTCTTATCATACAGTGGTAGCTCTCATAGGTCCCGACTCTGTGGGTGTTCCGGGGCATAAGCACTCACCAAAAAAAAGAGGGATGTTCAGCACCTGCAGGGCCAGATTAATTTTTTGTGGGCCCCAGCGCCTGGCCCCGCCCCGAGGCTCCTCCTGCTGCTCTGCCCCAAGGTCTTGTCCCTACTCGGCCTGTTCCTCCCGAGGCCCCGCCCACCACTTGCACGGGGGTGAGGGGATGAGAGGGAGGAAGGGAGCGAAGAGGAATACCCACTGGCAAAAACAAAAGTCAGTGTCTCTGGTAGTTCTGGAGAGAGTGGTGCCAAGGAGAGGGCCAAGATATCTACCTTGTCTTTGCTGGAATTATTTTCTTCAGGACCTAATATATCAATCTGTATTTTGTTGAAAATAATATTTGTCCAGTTGTGATTTAGCAAAAGACTCCAGTAGCGGGTGATTTCTTTTCTTTCTACTTGGATTTAGTAATGGCCATCAGGTTAAATGGTTGCAGCCAATTGAAAAATGAAAGGTCTGTGTTTCAAGATGTACCATTCAAACAAACAGTATTGCAATCTAGTGGAGGAAAGGGTGGTTCTTCTGCTGGTCTCTTTGGAAAATTCTGGACTTCAGACTATACCAGGGGTGGGCAAACTTTTTGGCCCAAGGGCCACATCTGGATGGGGTAATTGCATGCAGGGCTATGAATGTAGGGCTGGGGTAGGGGGTTGGGGTGTGGGAGGGGGTGCGGTGTGCAGGAAGGGGCTCAGGGCAAGGGGTTGGGGTGCAGGAGGGGGCTCAGGGCAAGGGGTTGGGGTGCAGGAAGGGTGCAGCAGGAGGCTCAGGGCAGGGGGTTGGGGTGCAGGAGGGGTTCGGGGTGAGGGCTCCGACCCGGCGCCGCTTACATTGAGTGGCTCTGGGGTGGCAGCAGCACGCAGCGGGGCTAAGGCAGGCTCCCTGCCTGCCCTGGCCCCGCGCCGCTCCCAGAAGTGGCTGGCACCACGTCTCTGCGCCACTCCCGGAAGCGGCTGGCACCACGTCCCTGTGGCGAGGGGGAGGGCAGAGGGCTCCACAAGCTGCCCTCGCCTGCGGGTACCTCCCCCGAAGCAATGGAAGCTGCGGGGGGCGATGTCTGCAGGTGATGGCAGCGCGCGGAGCCCTCTCCTCCCTCCTCGCTCCTCCCTCCCCCTGAGGCCGCAGGGATGTGGTGCTGGCCGCTTCCGGGAGAGGCGCAGGGCCAGGGCAGGCAGGGAGCCTGCCTTAGTCTCCTGCGCCACGGGCCTGGCAATCCCGCGGGCTGTAGTTTGCCCACTCCTGGACTATACACTGAAGAGACTAATAGAGTAGTCCTTTGTTGAAAAGGAAAGCAGTATTATGAATCTACTCAGTTTTGCATAGAGTTTCATGAAGTTTAGCATAAGAGTCTTATGCAGATCCTTTGCACGGGTGTGAATTTCACTCAGCATGTAGATATCATGCAGCCACCTGCATACTACAGCGAGATGTGCTTTATAAATTCTGATAGAGTATTATATTTAACTTGAGCGAGAGGCATCATTCCTTTTCTAGAAAGGAAATGCTTTAAAAAGATTTTCTTGGAGGAAAAGAACTTGGGCCTCATGATATCAATTATGCAGGAGACATCATTATGAGACATTTATCGTTTTATCTCTAGTAAGAAAAGGCAAGAAAAGGTTTGACAGACACTCCTCCAAGGAAATAGAATCTGTTCCCTATAATGATATCCGAGAGGTGGTATAACCTGTTTTGTAATCAGAGATGCAATTAAACAAAAGAAATTATTTTGAATTTTCTCTTACCCGGTGTATAAGCAATGAGAGGGAAGAAATCCCAAACAGTAGTTGTATAATTTGTGTATGCACAAGAGCCAGCTACAGAATGATTACAGTTATGCTTAAAAAGAATCCAGTAAATTGTACAAGTTCAATCTTTGGCACTAGCTTTGCAAAGCTTCCATCCATGAAATGATAGGATAAATGGGGGAACTCCACATGTAGTTTTCTGCTCTCTATTTAAATGTTAATTTGTATTAAAACTTATTCATCAAATTATTCGCTACTTAGTTCTCAGAATAAGAAAGGAGGATGGAATGGAAATCGTATCTGAGCCAGCCATCAGTAATCATTAGTCAGATGTGTAGGTTTCGAAAAAAAAAAATTTTAAGTGTGATACGCTGCATTGGGGGGAAAAACTTCTGTACTGATAATTATTTTCACCTTTTCAAAACATCTATTCTGAAGTCTTCGAGAGACCACCACTCCATTCTGAGTTCCTCTCCGTTTGAGGATTTATGCAAACAATTAATGTTACTTGAACAGTTATTCATATTCTTTTTTAAAATAAAGTGTGATGTAAAATGTATGAAGTGTTTCTGCGGATGGAGTGATACTTTCTTTCCATCATTCATTTCAGTCAAAAAGTCATGTCTTCTTTCTGTGACCATCCTTTTTTGTTTGTGCAGCAAGAGAACTAAGTATAGTTTTGCATATTTTTAAGGAAAACCAAGTGCATCAACGAATAGCAGACCTCAGGAAAGAAGGTTTATGGTCCCTAAGGCGATTGCCCAAACTTCAAGAGGCTGCAAGACCGAAATCTCACCAGGATTATCTACTGGAAGAAATGCAATGGATGGCAACTGATTTTGTTCAAGAGAGAAGGTGGAAAACAGCAACTGCTAAGAAGGTAATATGGATATGATTCTTTCTAACACACAGCATAGAAGAATAAGCAGCATTCTCATGGTTAGAACCTGGGCACGGAGAGTCAGAATGCTAGAGTTTTATTTCTGGTTCTGCCACTGACATTGGGCCATTTTCAATCTCCCTGAGCAAAACAAGCATATTTGTAAACTTGTAATGTTTGTAAAGCACTTCATAAAACACTTATGTTTTCAGAGTATTCTAAAGTTCTAAAAGTAGTGACCTTTTGTCTTCAGTATAGGAATTTAGGTCTCTCATCAGCACTGGTGCTAGGTGATTATATATTGGGGCACTAGGTTATTCTGGCATCCTGTAATGTAGGTGAAGTGAATGTAGATTAGAACATAAGAAATCTCTTCTCTGTGTCTTGGGTTATCTTTCATTTACATGATGAAAGTCTGAAAAGACAGCTCAATTCATGAGCATTAAATTATTGAGCATTATTCTCTCCTCATCAAGAGATCAGTTAATGGTTGCCTATAATTCTATATTAGGGTTTGTCTACACTGCAAAGAAAAGCCTGCAACACTGAGTGTCAGAGCCCAGGTCAATTGACTTTGGCTTGCGGAGCTCAGTCTCTTGGACTAAAAATAGCAGCATAGATGTTGCATCTCAGACTGGAGCCCAGGCTCTGGACCTGGGCGAGTGGGGAGAATTACATCCTCTCCATCCCCCAGGTTTTCACCAGGTTCCAGAGCCTGGGCTCCAGCCTGAACCTGAATGTCTATACTGCTGTTTTTAGCCCTGCAGCCCAAACTCCATGAACCCAAGTCAATGACCTGGGCTCTGAGACTTGGCGATGGGGTTTTTCTTTATGGTGTAAACATACCCTTTAGTGTGTGTGTATTCCCGGTACGCTTTGCTTAAAGTAGGCCTAGGGTTTTTTTTTTAGTGGTATATCTTTTCAGGATATATTTTTTTCTTCTCCAGTGTGAGGCACAAAGTGAGAAGCATAGAGCTAGTTGGTGTTACACTTTAAAACAAAACTAATGCTTTTATCTAGCTGATCAGAAATGTGGTGCGCTATCATGAAGATAAGAGACTTCATAAGGAGAGAAGCAAGAAAGCAGAACAAAATCGACTGAGGCGCATTGCTTCTTCTGCTGCTAGAGAAATTGAGCATTTCTGGTCCAGCATTAAACAGGTAAATGTATTGTGAAAGTATAAATGCAAAAATGTTTAAAGAGGTACAGTAGTGCTATGGAAAAGTTATTGGGCCATATCCTCATATGTGGTTGGTTTGTTTGCTTTGTCCTGCACTGGCAGAGTAGTATTGTGCAGGGATGATCTTGCAGTGTACTAGAGACAAGGCAAGGTCTCATGTAGTGTTGGGGGAAAAGGGGCATGGTTGAGACACTGTCTTATGCCATGCAGATCCTGGGCTGCATGTTTGGCCCCCTATAAACATTAAAACTTGACACAATTTGGATCATTCCTTAGGCAGATTTAATGCAGCGCAAGGGGAATGGCATGTATAAAATAGCATCAGGATCTGAGCAGTGCCAAGGAGAACTTTAAAGCCATTTTGGCACTCCTCCACTTTAATTGAACTCTGCATTATGGCCATAGCTGAGGATCTGGCCCAATATTATTGTTATTTCTAATGTACCTATCACTGTAATGTCCGGTTATTTTTCAAGATTAAAGATTCATTCCTTTCTTCTGGAAGGAAGAGCCACCCTTGCCTCAGATCTCATTTAAAAATCAGTATCTGTAAAATTTCGGAGTTCCACACTGGTTTAAAATCTTCTATATTCGAAGGTTTCTTAAAATGACAAAAAGCAGCAATTAAGTGACCTGATTGGAAGGAGGAGTGCATGTAAAGGTTGCCTGTCCTGTTGATGAAGGATTATAAGGAAATTCATAGTTCTCTTTAAGATTAAATGCAGTTAACTTCATTAATGTTTATTGCTTTCCTTTCGCCTCACACTTCCTTTTCTAGGTGGTAGAATTAAAACTGCAAGTAGAAGAAGAAAGAATGAAAAAACCCTCAAATGTACAAGAAATTTCAAAAAGAGGTACATGGCTGTTGTTTTATCAAGACATTTTTCAGAAGATTCTCACAAGATGGAAATGGTGAAAGGCCATCAAAATACAATTTAAAAATAAATGTCTTGGTCATAGTTTTGTATCCTTATTGACTTTTATCTTTTAACTAGAACTTTACTTGTGCTGCTGTTAGAATAGATATATTTGAACATAATACCCAGAAGTACTAAAGCTCTCCCTGAGAGTTCATTAGCCTGCAGCCTTTGTTGCTGAACTCTTGTTCGTATGTGGGTTTAATTTGGCACATCTCATGGTTTTCTGAGAGACGGGATGCACCAATACCGGCCCCCCCCACACACACACACTTCAGTGGAGTTGTACTTGCTTATGCCAGAGCTGAATTTGGCCCGAGAATTAAATTTGAACATAAATTAAAGCTACAGGGCTCATTGATTTTTAGTTCTTCAAGCTTTTTTTATAACTTTTTCCTTGGCACATAATCATGAATGATCTCATACATTCTTGAAGAAATTGATTAAAAAATGAAGAAACATGTTGAATAATTTTCAATAAGATATGCTTTATGTTAATCAATATAAAAATGGTGTCTAATGTGATATTATCTTTCAGGTCAAGATACGAGAATTCAGGTAACTACTGTTAAATCAGAATGAATTAGTGAGCTTACTTTCTTATTTTATTTGTGTTAATTTTACAGTCTTGAAATGAGTGCTAATTTACAGTCAGATGATTTTTTGTTTTCATGTGGTCAACATAAGCCATGCAGATAGTTAATGGTGGTTGTTTTAGTTCATTGTTAAAAATCCAACCTAGTCTCGATAAAAACATGCATAAAAACTAGATGCATTAGCTTAGTCTCCTGTCCCCACATGGTTTCACTTAAATCAGTACGGACTTTAGAGGTGTATAGTTGTCCACATTAATGCCTGTTTTTGTGGGATTGGGGCCTTGTACTATTGTATAATTATATTTGGGAGGGAGTCTGGGCAGGGAGGGAAAGTAGCATGTGGATTGTCTTTGGAAGTTTTGAAATGGTCATATGAAATTACAACTGCTTACTGATTATTTTGCATCGTGCATGTTGAAGGTTTGGGATTTATAATTTGTGTAAAAAAACCTCTATTTTCTATTGTTTAGGATTCAACAATATCTGGGAGAAAAAGAAAAGCAACCACATTGCTTACTGATCACGAAGGTCTGTTTTTTGTGCGTGGGGGAGGGGGGGGTTCAGTTGTAGTTATAGGGTTTGTTATGAAGCTATCTGTAAGAATTAATTAAATTAGAAATTTAAGAACATAAACTCACTTGCTTAAAGACAAAATTGCCCCAAATGTATGTGTTGTTTTGAAATGGGGCTTACAAAGCCTAAAGATGGTTTAATCGTATGCTTGTTCCTTTAGTCTTAAATTTTGAAAAAGCTTTTAAGGAAACATATTGTGGAGCATGGAAATAATTAGTAAGGAATATCTTCTGCTAAGATGGCCTTATGATTAAGGCTGTAAGAAAATCACGGGCCACAACTTTATTTTGCGAACTGCATCTTTTAGCAGACAAAACAAGCTTTTAAAGTTGTTACAAATTTCAGCGCCTCCAGCTCTGGGACGCTGCTGCCAGCAGCAAGGACCAGCCTCTCTGCAGCTGGCTCTGTGCCTCTACTCCCTGCCGACAAGGAGAACGGTCTGGTTTGAAATGGCATCCCTGTGTTTCGATCCTGTGCATCAGGTTGCCACACCACTCACTCAGATTTGGTCTGGCTGCCTGTTCACCATGTCAAGCCAAGCTGTTCTCCTTGTCGGACAGGCAGGGAACAGAGATGCCTGGAGCCAGCTGCAAAGAGTCTAGCCCCTGCTGCTGGCAGCAGCGTCCAGGGACTGGCAGTGCTGAAATGAGCCCCTGGCAGCCTGGCCCGGTAGGGACCTGTGGTGTGGGGGGAAGGATGGAAAGGGGGAGTCTGTGCTTCCATTACTGGGGCAGGGTTACCCAGTCTGTGCACTCCTGCCTGCTCCATGCTGCAATGAAAATTCCTTCCCAGTCTCCCCATGATGGGGTGGAGCAAGCCTGGATATGGGGCAAAGTTGCGTTTTTAGGGTGACCACACCAAAACTGCAGCTTTAACAAACTGGCCACAACTTTTGAACAAAAATATCACAACTTTCTTACAGCCTTACTTATGATGTGAAAAGCAGCTTATCTTTAATTTCACGTAGGAGAAAGTGCGTGAAACTCACCTATTCCTTATTCAGTAATAAATCTGACACACACCATTTTAAAATAACCAAGAAGGCGGAGAACTGTCATCTTTGGAGCTATTACAGGTACAACACAACTGTAAATGCATATCATGTCAGTAAATGACAGTAATGCTGACCTAAGTTGCATTTACATGAGGGGCAAATTTGGCTCATTGCTGGTAGAAAATTCCTAGAGATTAAATGACAAGAAGTGACTTTGTAATTGTAAACAGAGAAATTAAATTGCTAACCTATTTTACTCACAATATCAATAATGCTTAGTTTTAGAGACAGATGAAGAGAATGCTGAAGTGCGAAATTCTGAAAAAGAAAACGTGGGTCATCAAACTGAGTTGACTGATTTAGCCAAAGAAGGTAGGAAGATTGTTTGTGTATGAGGGTTTTTTCTTTTGTAAAGAGTCTTTCTAGCATAGGTATCTTTCCAACATGTATATTGTAGGAGGCCTTTTTATAAGATAATGCTGATCTCCTGAAATATACTTGATCTGGAAAAATGTCAAGTTTATTTTTATATGGAAAAATCTGGGTGCGTATGTATGTATGCATTTATATGTGTGTGTGTGTGTGTGTGTGTATATATATATATAGATATAGGGGTGTGTGTGTGTGTGTATATATTGTTCCAGTCCAGAATTCTTATATCCCAATGGTTAGCACAGCTGAAATGTACATTTTTGAATGGCATGTCTGTATATTGCATCAGTTGTTAATGAAACACGCATCACAGGTACAGGAAACCTCATGAATTTTATTGCTTTTGTTCAGAAATGGAAGACTCTGTAAGTGAGAGAGCGAGCCCTCTGAAGGAAGTAGTATTCATAGAGTCACTCCTCAGAATTGATCAGCATGAGGGTACAGAGAAAACAAGTGCTGCAATGAAACACGTGAGAGACATAGTAGAGGTTGCTGCTGCTGCAGAAGTGCTGTTACCTAAAGATAGTGCTCAGATCACAACGGAAGTAAAAGGTGATACTCCATCCCTGTTGTATGGGACTCTTAGAGAGTATCAGAAGATTGGGCTGGACTGGTTAGTGAAGTTATATAAGAAGAATCTCAATGGTATTCTGGGAGATGAGGCAGGACTTGGCAAAACTATGCAAGTTATTGCCTTTTTCACACACCTGGCTTGTAATGAAGGTATGAAGTGTGAGGTTTTTAGTTTTTACTGTAAACCCATATACATAATGTCTTCATTGCCAAATATATGTCTAAAGAATAAAAAATAATTGTTTTAATCTGTTCCACTCATGAAAATTAAGGTAGAATAAATAAAGACTTCTAAATGTAAGCTTTTTCTGTTTGTGCATCAGTTTTTAATGAATTGTGAAGCCATGTGCATTTTCCTCTAATACATGTTGTATTTGTACCTCCTTGTAGGTAATTGGGGTCCTCATCTTGTTGTTGTATGGAGCTGTAACATACTGAAGTGGGAGATTGAACTGAAACACTGGTGCCCTGGGTTGAAACTTCTTCTGTATTTTGGCAGTCAAAGAGAACTTATAGAAAAAAAACAGGTATTGTAAGAAATCCATGTACAAAACATGTTTACAGTAGCATAAACATGCCAAAAGAGGCAGCAAATTATGACCAAGAAACAAATCTCAGAAGTATCTGGATGGCTAATTTAGCCTGTTCAGTAGGGAGTCTTTCCATTGAGCTCAGTGGGTAGAAACACTACAATAATATGCAGATTTATAGGAAGCAGTTTGGAAAGAGTCAATAGTCATTAAGAAACCTTTTCTCTTTCTTTACAATCTGCTACCTCAAGAGAAAACACTTTGTACCTACAAGTTGTTTCCTGCTCCCTGGTTAATTCAATAATGTATCCAAACATCCCTATAGATAAGTTTTACAAAACTTAAAAGAACATGTATCATTGTGAGTTAAATTAATGATCAAGAAATAAAAACACTGCAATCCAAGATCTTCTAAATATAGCTATGCAGCAATTTATTCTGAGATTTATATTCTAAAATCACAGAATGGTAACTTTATTCTAATACTTTAGTCTTTGAGTAGATGATTTTGGAATTAATGATCCTCATTATGGATGAGTGGTGCCTCTTGATGTAGGTGAGTAGAAGCTTTAGTTCAGATACCCTTATATAAGGTGGTCTTACATCTGCATTCTTTATTGTTCTCTGATTATGCAGCAGGCTCCTTTCAGAGAGAGCGAGAGAGTGTGTGTGAGACTGAGTGAGCAAAAGAGCACTAATCATGGTTTTGCTTGTGACCTGCACTTCATAGTTACCAAAAGGAGCTGCTTTACAATGGCCAGCTGATGATGATCTGCTTTCTTTTTAGGTTTTAAAGTTTACCAAATTTATGTGCAAAACAAATAATAGAGTTTTCTCTGATTCTTATTTTTTGACCCTTCCACAATAAGGGATGTGTTGGACATCTGCCAAGAGCATTCTGGTTGTGCCATATGAGGCTTTTTGCAAAAGTTCCTTTGGGCCTTCTGTGGGGATGTTGTCCATCTTTTTTAGTTGCTGTTGTTTGACTTCACTTCCTCTTCAAGTTGGAGGTCCTTCATAGCAGGAAGTATTTTTGACTTTGTGTAGTTTTCCCATCCTTTCTGATGCTTTTATACTCCACAGAATTCACATACTCCTTTTCTCTTAGCTTCATACAGTGCCAGAGCAGGAGGCAGTTAATGAAATGGCAGGTCATGACAGTTGTATGTCTCTTTACCTTTTGCGTCTTTGTTGACTTTTCCTTTCAGTCATGTAGTTACAATTATTTGTGCTTTTGTGTTTCTAAATAGGTTCCTTAGTTTGCATTTCCCAAAAATATCCAGTCTGTGGTTACGCAAGTGGCTAGCAACTTTTGCAGTCAAGTAGATAGTCCTTGTGGCCCTCGTTGGTGGAATCTGCCTAAAGATTTTCACTTGGCTTTACAAAATATCAGTTACTTAGCAGGTTTCACTCCTATTAAAGTGAATCTGTCGATATCTTTATTTTTAATCTCTTAAAAATATTTCAATACTTTTGGTTCTTATTTAAACTAAAGGCTTGCTTCTGTATAATCAAAGCCTTGCAATTTCAGCAAATGATTTTAAAACATAATTTAAATGGGGGACTTCTTTTTACTATCAGGTGTTTTTGGCTGGCTAGGAAGCTAGTTGTTTTTAACTTGTTTTAGCATGGCTTACAGAAGCAACTTTTGCTGAACAGAGAAAAACAGCCTCCATTAATTATGTCCAAGATTATATATGATTCTCAAGGTTAGGCAGAAAATTATGCCCAGGCACTGACACGTTTAAAAATAATCACTGTTTTTTATTAATCAGTATTTATCTAGTCATATTGATTATATTTTATATTATTGTGTTCCCAATAACTTAGCCACAGTCTAAAATTAAATAAGGCTGTGTCAGCTGATTTACAGTACACTCTTTTGAATGTAAAACTTTGCACATAAAAAGATTGTGAAATAATATATTTGAATCTCAAAAGGAGACCCACTCACCAATCTTTATTCTTCATTCCAATAAAAAAGAGAATAAAGATGAAATCTTTAAGATTTGTATGTTGCAGGAGTTGATGAAACCCAATAGCTTTAATGTATGTATCACCTCATACAAGCAACTATTTAATGGCCACCAAACCTTGAGGAAAATGCGATGGAAGTACCTAGTTGTAGATGATGTGCAGAAAATTAAAAATCTGACTGAGAAGCACTGGGAGGCACTCTTCCATCTCCAGAGGTCTGGAACATTAATAAACTATTTCCTCTTGCATGTCTCTATCCATTATTTTGTTCACAAAATAACTGTTGTTTAAAACTTATTTTTTCTTTTAATTTGTTTGCTGTGGAAAGTACTCTTTTTAAATTATTAAATACAATTTTAGTCCTAGAGTTGTCTTTTTCTTCTTGTTCACAGCCAGCATCGTTTGCTCCTGATAGACACTCCTTTGCCCAGCGCCTTGAGGGAGTTGTGGACCATGCTGCATTTTCTAATTCCAGGAATTTCCATACCTTACCTGGATTTCCTGGTGAAAGCAGCCAATGAGAGGACCCAAGATTATTGTCATAAAGTGGCTACGAGATTGCACAGAGTATGTTCACCTTTAAGATACTCTTTCATAGGCATGCGCATGGGGTGTGCTGGGTGTGCCCAGGCACACCCTAATGCAGGGGTGGGCAAATGGCTCCACTCTCCCGGCACAGCAAGCCACCGGCCCCTCCCCTGGAGCCGGGCTCCAGGAATATTCAGGGCTGGGGGCCCTGCTCCACCAATATGCTCTCCCCCGGCCCTGCCTGGAGCAGGCCCCGGCCCCTGTGGGTCTCCCCCCATGCCCTGCCGCGTCCCTGCCTGGAAGAAAGCAGCGGCTCCCGGCAGCAACTGCTGTCTGCTGCCCCAGGGTTCTAGTGCCCCCCATCTCCTAATGGCAGAGCAGGCTGCCCTTCCGCCCTAGCCCTGAGCCTCTCCAATGCTCCAAACCCCTCAACCCCAGCCCTCATCCCCCCGCACCCTAATCCTCTGCCCCAGCCCTGAGCCCCCCTCAGCCAGAGCCCTCATCCCCCCTGCACCCTAATCCTCTGCCCCAGCCCTGAGCCCTCTCCTGCATCATGAACCCCTCATCCTCAGCCCTCACCCCTGCACCCCCTCGTATCCCCAAACTCCCTCCCAGAGTGTGCACCCTCTCCCCCTCCCACACACCCCCTCCTGCCCCCAAACTCCCTCCCAGACCCTGCACCCCCACTCCCTCCTACACCTCTACCCCCAGCCCAGAGCCTGCACCCAGCACCCAAACTCCATCCCAGAGCCTGCACCCCAGACCCCCTCCCCCACCCAAACTCCCTCCCAGAGCCTTAGGCAGGTGGGGGGTGGAGTTGGGGGGTGGGTGGGTTCTGGGCACCACCAAAATGTCTACACACCTGCCACCCATGCGTGGGGCAGTGTGTCTGGCTCTGCGTGGAGCAAAACATGCTGCTAGGAGCCCCATGGTAAGGGGTCCGGGGCTGGGGGGGGTTGGATAAGGGGTGGGGGCAGTTGGGACAGGGAGCAGGGTGGGATCCCGGGGGGGTGGTTAGGGGTGGGGGGTCTCTGGAGGGGGGCAGTCAGGGAGCAGTCCCAGAGTCTGTCAGGGGGTGGGGGGTGGATAGGGGTCAGGGCAGTCAGGGGATAGGGAGCAAGGAGGGTCCTGGGGGGGCAGTTAAGGTGGGGGGGTCTCTGGAGAGGGTGGTCAGGGGACAAGGAGCGGGGGGGTTGGATGAGTCGGGAGTTCTGGGGGGGGCCTCTCAGGAGGCAGGGGTGTGGAGAGGGGTTGGGGCAGGCAGGGAGCAGGGGGGGTTTATGGGTCGGGAGTTCTGGGGGTCCTGTCAGGGGGCGGGGAGCGGTTGGATGGGGAGTGGGAGTCCTGGGGGCCTGTCTGGGGGCGGGGGTCTGGATAAGGGTCCGGGGCAGTCAGAGGACAGGTAGGGGGTAGGGTCCAAGGGGGCAGTCAGGGGACAAGGAGCAGGGGGGGTTGGGAGTTCTGAGAGGGGCAGTCGGGGCAGGAAGTAGGAGGGAGTGGATGGGGGCAGGGATATGGCAGGGCAGGTTTCTCTGAGTGCACACCCTAATGAAATGTGCTGCGCATGCCTATGTACTCTTTTAATCCTATTGTGAGTTGCCACAGGTAAATAATCACTTAATTATTACTTGCTTTTATTCTTTTAGATAATTCAACCATTTATTTTGCGAAGATCCAAAAGACATGTTGAAAAACAATTACCAAAGAAATACGAATATGTGCTGAAATGTCATCTTTCTAACCGGCAGAAGGCTATGTATGAAGATGTGATATTAAAACCAAGGTAAAGCAAACAAATAGTGAATCATAATGTTGCCTTTATTAGAGTGAGAGAACATTCAGGTTTTCTTACTGCAAATAGGAATGGAGATTGGTGGCAAGGGAGATTCTTTTGATGTGAACCATCCAACCTAAACCTTGTGACTAAAGGACATGTCATAATTACAGTATGTTGTCTGCTTACTAAATGCAATAATCATTTAGTTTAACATTAATTTATTTCTGTCTTTTATGTTCAAAATCACAAATGTTTATTAAAAATATATTTAACAGGTTGTTCATGAGCAGGAAAGAGTAAATTCAATTAACAAGTAAAACAGATGAGTTACAT